AAGGACAGTCAACAGATGGGCCAGTAGATGAAAGTAACAGATACTATAAGTCATGTGAGTTTTATACCAAATCATTTTGAGGAGATTGACCCAAACTTCCAAGTTTCATGCAACAAGTAAATAAACCCTTGTGGATGAAGATGAAATATGGATATCTGCATGAATAATCTTTAATTCTAAACTGCAGAGAGGCATATTTTAAAATCCTCTAAATGTTTAGTTATGCTATATTATAAAATTTATTTTAACAACAGTATCTTAATTCTTTAGTCAATATATCTCTCTTCTATGTGAGGTTTCCCCCCCACCCAGTATTAAGATTAAAGGATTTAAGATAAAGCTCAAGAATAGATATCCTTCATAAGACTGAGGGAATCAAATAAATGATTATCACTATATTTTACCAAAAATATCCTTTGAGTGGTGGGAAGATAAAAGCAAATCTTATCTTTTAGAATTTGTTAAAAGTGTCTAACTTTACACTGTGTTTACTTGACATGCTAGTGACAGTACCAGCATGAACCTTTTTTAGTAGAATGACCCTGGGAAATGCTTTAAATTATCTCCTCAGACAAGGCTTATTGCCCATCTGTCACCACTGCAGAAAACTGAGCACTGAATTTAACTATTTGCCTGTTCCAAATCTTTTGAGTTTAGCCAAGATGCTCAGAAAGATAGAAACAAACCACTTCAATAAATGCTTGTTAATCATCTGTGCTACATAGTACTCTCCTGGGTCTTAAGTCAGTCCTGCCTTTTTAGAACTTGCAGCCTAAAAAGGAGAGTCAGACAATTTAAAAAATCTGTGGTTTTTTTGCTAGTGCTATAACAGGGTACATTGAGGGTGCTCTTACAACACACAAAGAATAAGCCTCTCACTTCTTGGGTAGGGTGGGGTGGATAGAGCTGAGAGCATCTGGGCCTTTGGAAGTTGGCTGAAGAAAAGAACTGGTTTGGCAGGGAGAAAGGAAGAAGGAAGCCACAGAAGTAATTAAGAGGCTAACACTGAAAAGGTAGTCTAGGAATTACGCAGAAGGAAGAGAAAGGATTGGGAAGAATGTTCACAGAAGAAACACTCTGTGCAAAGACCGAATGAGAAAGGAGAATGTATTTAACATGTTGGCTGAGTGCTTCTCAAACTTTATAAATAGATGCAGTTAATAAAGAATATAAATCTGAGTTTAAAATTAAAACGTATGTTCCGTATTTCCCACAATTTCGAGAACGCTGTGTGGTCTCCCATTTTTACACACACTACAGTCCTCCATTTGAGGAATGGCGTTGCCAATGGTGACCCTTCTATCGCAAGTCTTTGTACCTTCTTTAGCAGTCAACTACTGAGGGAGATATTTCAAATTTTTCAGTGATATTTGTGGATCTGTGGTTTTTCTTTCAGTTTCGTGTTTTTCCCTTATGTAGTTGGATGCTTTGTTTAGTGAAATATGCATTAAGAACTGTTGATTCCTTTGGGAGAACTGCCTTTTACAACATTAGATGACCACTATGATCTTTCTGTGTTTTGAGACACAAGTTGAATAGTGTGAAATTGATATGATTTCAGCATGTTTTGTTGAGTCAGTGCTAGCATAATCTGTCTAGTACAACTTTCTATTTGATCTGTTTTTATATGCACCTTATATTTGTTGTGTTTTTTAAATATTTGTATACTTTTTAATTAATAAATAAAAAGTAATCTATTAAAATCAAACACATGTGCATTTTGGTGGTAGAGAGAGACATGAGTTACCAGGTTGTCTAGCAACTGCCAAGAAATGCCGTTTGTATTGGTTGGGGACAAAGCTTTGAGTAGCAAATAGCAATATGACTCAGTTTCCAGTAGCTGGCATCTAGGGCTCTCTCTCTCTGGAAATCACTGAATACTCTCTGAACTATTTTCACTATGGATGATGACCTGCTTATTCACTCTGCATGAATCACTGATGATGGCAGTGAAGGGGCAACTTATCCTCTCGTTTATCCGTAGTTGACATTTTTCTATAAAGGAGGTTGCTTCATGGAATGCTAGTTTAAAGTCACTACTTCAAATTCTTCTTTTGTATCATCATCTTTCCCACTTTATCTACCTTTACACTGAAAGACATTTAACAGTTTCAGCATGAAACTAGTCTCAAAGGATTTGCTAATATTGTCACGCTTGTCAAAATCAAAGGAAATTGTCTCAGAGAAGAATCTTTACCTTTACTGTTAGAAGCAAGTTATAAGGCTGTACTGTATCTTGACAGTTCTTTCAGTGTCAGCTTAAGCTCATTTTAATAAATGTGTAAGTTTCGTGTCACTCCCATCTCTCCTTACCCTGTAGCAGCAAATGTTTTCTGAAGCTCTAAGTACAGCACCTCTGCAAAAACTCTAAAATTTCCTTCTCTATCCCCAAAGCTACAAAACAGACAGAACTGAATTATAGTTACTTACTGAAAATTTGCATTCATATCAACATATTTAAAAGAAAAGCCTCCCTACATTTTTTTTGATATTACACACCATTAAAATTATGTGTAATGTGTTTATGAAAAATAGAAAATGCTATTATTTTTGATATTGATACAATGGAGTCATATAATGCTTATTACTAAGTAATTCATGGATTTTAGTACCATCATATAACTCTATTTCCTCATTTAGTTCCCACAACAATACACAAATATATACACTGTTAAATTTATTAAACTGTACCTGCTTAAAACGGAGTACACTATGAAGGCAAGCAACAAAACTTTCAAATTCTTTTCTACACCTCATAGTCATTAAAGCAGAAAAAGACTTTGAGAAATCTGTGGGTAGAATTGTCATGTCTTCCTACTACTAGATGAACTCAGCAGTTCTTAAATTTTGGGGTAAATGAAAAGTACTATATCAGGTTGTCTGTGTGAAGCCATACAGAATGTCTTGTTAGGCAGCTAAGTAACTTTTTGAGGTTGATTTTTTTCAAAAAAAACTTTCATATTACCTGCTGCTACAAGGTGTAACTAACTTTGGCCAAGTCAGACCTAACTGTTCTCCAGAGCAGTTGGAAATGATTGACATGTTTCCATAGTTTTGTGTAAGGAAGGCTGAGGCCTTTCTCAGCATTATAGCTCAGTCTGCACATGACCCACTCCTGGAGTCAGAAACACTGTAAAGTGATGTGGGGAACATCCTAAATCAGGACATATGTCCTGCGATGGTCTGTATGGAAGTGGCCTCCTAGCTCACCACATCTGCTGCGGGGACACAGAAGTCTTCCTGACTTCCTGCACACTGTGCTTGACTAACTCCTAGGAGGAATAATGTGGATTGTTTCTCTGTGGACCAAAGTTAACCACAGTCTTATTGTCCCCATGTCAACCATTTAAAACCACATGGTGTCGCCTATTTGGTCTTCAGGACATCTATAGTTGGGTTTAATGTGTAGTCATACTTACTGACATGGTAGCTTAATTAGTTATGTTCCCCACACTGTATGAAACTGTAAAAAAAGGGATTGAAAACTCAAGGCCTCTAGCATATTCTTCAAGAGACTTTCAGAGTCAGTAGTCTGAGCATGTCATCTATAGATGAAGAGCTTGACCCCCAGAAAGGACAGTTGCGTATAGCTAGGAACCAACGGCCAGGAAATAAACCGGAATTCTGCTGTCATGCTATTTCTTTCCTTCTTTCCATCCTTCCATTCTCCATCTCTCTATTATCTCCCTCCTTTTCTTGCTTCCTGTTCTTTTGCTTTCTCTGTCTTTCTTCTTCACATCCTTATTTTGCTGTTTCCCCAGGTAACCAAAATAACATGTATTCCTTTAATTTACCCTAAGTTTATATGAGCCCAGTGACAATTACTCAGAAATTTATATACAGAAATTTTAAGAAAAACAGACTTTAATTATTCTGCAAATTTGTTGTGTGATTAAGCTTTATTAAGTAGCACCATCAATAATCATTTTTAAATGCTTTCATAGTAATTAGTAAAAGAAATATTAATGGCTATACTCACACACCCATATGATCAAAAATGGCTAACTCAGAAGTGGAAAAATAAGTGGAAGCTGTTAGTTAGAAAAGCATTATTTATTTAACATATTTCTTGCTTCTTTAAAGAGAAAAGATCTATATTTTGAATACTGTGTTAAACACAAAACTATTAGATTATACTCCAAAAATACATTTCAGTGAATTACATGTGCTCTCTATGATCAACAGAAAAATTAAAATGTGTGACTTGAGAGATCAGTAGGGTTTAAATTTTACATGATTATATTGTTAGAAAAAATAGCATTTGGAAATGCTTGTAAGATTCAGAGGGATTTTGTATTGAAGTTCAACTTCAAATTTTCAGTGATATAACAAAAATGTTTGGCAATAATTGCAATATGTTTTACTTGCTAAAGGTGTAGAAATAATTTTAATCTTTAGCACATGTTTGCAGTCCTGTACATAGTGAGGCCTGCTACAGTTTGGCAGAGACATGAGGAAGGTGTCTGGCTCCAGTTTCTGAGACAGAATTTAAGGGCTTGTGTCCAGCCCCAGAGAGGTCAGGGGATGACTTGCTTTGCTGAAACTCACACTCTTTTCATGGAGTCTTGCTGCACTCTCAACTAAAGTTGTATTTTATCCTCATTTTAAAAATAAAATGAGTATTTTGTGATGTGTTGATATCAGCAGAGCTGGATTAATATGATGAATGAAAAGCCTTTATTTGAGCTCTAAACTTCTTGTTTGGGGAGAGCTGTGTTTGCAGCTTTCGTAGAAGTCAGCAGTAACTTAGTCGCTCTAGGCACTGAGGGGGCACTGGGTCACAGCTATGCTTTCACAGTGGGATTGTCCACAGTGGTGTCACCACCAAATGCACAACTGTATTAACAATTGCAAGTTTCAGCAGAAAGATCTGTGGTGTTGAATGCAATCAGAAAAGACAATACTGAACAAATTGTCGTTCTTTGTTCATCCTGCATTATGAAATAGGGACACAGATGACTCATGGAATATGTTCTCTTTTGTGTTTGGGACACAAACAGCAGCTTGGAGTCACCACTGATGAGTGAAGGTTCGGAAGTGCAGCGGAACAGCGGCAGTGGCGGCACGGGAAGCAGCCTGGGAAGCAGCCTGGGAGGCTCCATCACCGCCTGTAAGAAGGTAACCGTGGCCCGTGCCAGTTTCTCCTTCCTGGTTGGCCTTGAACACACTTGGACTTGACCTTTCAGATCCTTTTCCTGAAGTACAAACAACCAACTAAGTGGCCCACTTTCTGGTTTCCCAGATAGGCTGATGACATTTTAAAATAGAATTCATGGAAATAATTTTAAAAAAAACCTTCAAATAATTCACAAATTCATAACCTGATAACTGTTATGCCATCCGACCTCCACCCCACCCCTGTCCTCCTTCTCCTTCTAAACTGAGCCGTGGACCAGAGCCTCTTGGATCTCTGTTCAGAAAAATCACAAGTTTTGAACTGCTTAATTTATTGTGTTCTATTCCTAAATCCATATTTAAGAAAATTTCTTAACTTTCCCCCCTTTAGACATTTTCTAAAAGAGTAGAGAATGCCTGGCTTATTAAGCAAAGCAGACTGCCAATGTGGAGCATGTGGACTTTAGATCTGACAAACAATTTTCGTTTAAGTGACTTGCAAGAAGTTATTACTTGAACAACATAACATCATTCAATTCAACTCTAGTTTTTCCAGCCAAACCAACTAAGGCTAAGAAATTTAAAGCAAAATGCCCAAGTTCCTGATTCTTTTACCCAGTGTTTTTACTGCTATGTGTTGCTAGTTTTTAGAGGTGAGTATGTTTATTTGCATTCAAATTTGGAAGAAATCACACCGAATTTGAAAGAAATCACATTGAATTATTTATTGTGAAAAAATTTAATCATAAAAAATCTTGTAAAAAATTGTCTTGTGAACTACCCTGTTACTAAATATATTATGTATGTATGTGACATACATTAATACATGCATAGGTATATGTATACATATATATGTTATGTCCATATACATTTGTTGATTACTGCATCCAGTTAATCATTCCTTTGTGACTTTTATATAATTTCCTAGTTTTCAAGTATGAATAAAATTAACAAATACCAGGAGTAGGAAACATGTAGCCTTTAATGAAAAATAGCATCACAGTGTACGTTCATTTAATAGATATGTATACACATAATCTCACAAACAAGGATGTAAAATTTTACACATGTCTAACCAGTACCACAGTTATTTCTAGAACGAGCAATAAACCACAGAAAAGTGCTTTTCATGGGACAAAAATTATCATATTGAGACAATTTCATATGGCTCAATGTAAATACATTCAAAACCATGTTTGATCTCATAAGAAAACACAAGGGTGGATCATTAAATTCTGTAATCCTTAGGGAATTTACTGTTTGGGATGATAGAGGTTGGTGGCTTATCAAGTGAACAATCAAAGAATGATTCACAGATTATGTAGTAACATAAACGTACCAGTGATATGTCAGGGAAGCGTAAATCAGGTGAAAGACCTTAGTAGTAAAATCCAAGAAGCACCATAGCAACAAATGCACCAGGAAAATGGACTGTAACACAGACAGGGAAGAGTGGTCACAGCCTGAATGGGCAAACAGAATATTTATCTGTTTTCAGCAAGGGCTGCAGCATATCAGTGAAGTCTACACCATCTTCTACTGTAACTTAAGAATAACCATAGAACATTCCTGTTATTTTAACTAATTCTCTGAAGCTTACATAATTGAATTTCAAAAAGTATCTAATAGCAACTGTGCAACCACATATTACACACTATGTGGGCTATAATTCTTTGCCTTCCTTTCGAGAGAGTTACTCAAGAATGTTAAGCCCTTCTTAGAATCTAGAATATAAAGCCTCAGTAAGAACGTACTATTAAAAGAGTCTATGCCTTTATTATGCTATTATTATGCATAGATGCAATTTAATTTCAATGTTCGTTGATCAAGTGTTTAATCTTTTTAATCAGAGGTAACAGGGCTGGGGAAATGAGGATCCGCGTAGTACACACATAACGTACCTTCTGCTCAAAAGAGGCAAACAGAGCAAGAAGCTCTCAGAAGGACCAAGCCGTGCAGAGAAATCACCACTCTTCAGTCAGTCTACCTGCAATAAGAGTAAATTGGAGAAACCCCTTTGTGTTCCCCAAACCCATCTCATGTCTTAGCTTTATCTCCCTGATCAAGCCTTCTTATCAGAACTGAGGTAGTCCTAAAATCACTGGTGGAAGAAACAAAGTAAGGAGGTAGAAGATGACACATGAGTTGGATTATCAGACTCTGAAAAACTGCAAATTGATGGAATGTGTGTTTCACAGTGAATTTCCGCCTGTGGGGAATCCTACCCACGCACAATTGCTTCGGTTCCTCTTTGCTGCTGGGGAAATACAGTCACTGGAACCTTATCTACAAAAAAGCTATAGTATTAGGGAAAAGATTATTATGGATTTATGTGAAAGAGGAACTCTTCAATTTATATTGTTGGTATTGAGAGCTTTCCTTTCCACCAAGCTAAGGTGACCATATCAGACCGTAGTGTTTTACGTATTTCCTTCTGGCATTTTGCTAATTTTATTCTCAAAAGTGTTCTGTTATTCAAAGTAAGTTTTCCTTCTAACTCTAGGTTTAGAACCGTCCCTTTTCCTTTTCTCTTCTTTTAAAGGTTAGGAAAGTTACCAGATAAATTCACACCAACCTGCTTGCTAGGATTGCACAGCATCGTCTTGTGCTGCAAACAGCATCTGTCCCCTACTCAACTACCCCCCTTCTCCCTTACTGACATTGGAAATTCTACCTGGCCTATTCTACCTGGACAAAAACTTGGAATTCTACTCTTCGTGGAGCTCTAAGCAGACACTCTTTATCCATCCAAGTGGGAATGTGAACTAAATTTTGTGTCACTAATTTAATAAGCATAGAGATTCAGCATAATTATTAATTATGCTGGGAATCATCAGCATAACATATTTAAAGTGGTAAAGTTACAAGATATTGCAGGGGGGAAATGGAGAAGAGATGCTGATGGGGAAAGGGCACTACATTCTCCCCAGGGAGCCCCCAGTGGTATCTCAGGTGGGCATTGCCCAAGGTTTCCCTCTCATATAACCCTACTTACAAGACAAACAGAACCACTCTTACTAAACTGATCCATATGGGGTTTCACCAAATGAGCTAAATGATTATATGTGATTGTTGTTTATTTGTTGAAAAGTTCTCCATAGTCTATTTATAACAAATCAAAATCCGCTGTCACTAAAGACACAGCGGATAGCAAGTAACCAACCTGCACCTGAAACGTAAACATTGAGCTAAATTGGAGATTTCATGATGTGATGTCCATCCAGGGGTGGAACCTCTCTGACTCAGATCCTTAAAAGTTGCTATGACATTAACATATGCCCTTGGCATATAGTTGATGTTCAATAAATATCAGTTAATTCCAAATAAGTTATTTTATACAAGGGTAACATTCACTTAAATAGAATTTAAAACAGAAAACAGCACAGCATGTTAAATGTCCTCCTGATGACGCGTATCTGTTAATTTCTTTCTGCTTTGAGAGCATTATATTGCAGGTCATTTTTCCACAATGGCTGAACATTTTCAATCCTTCCTTTACTTCACAGGCTAACAATCTGCTATCTGGGCTATAGTGGAACCAAGTCTCTAAATAGGATTGAGGTGAGGAAAGAATTGGGGGAAAATCAACACCGCAAAAATCTTTCTCTTTTTGTGTCATGTTAATTAAATCTGCCTTAAACTCGGACTTAATCAAAGTGGGCAGACTGAAATCAGCTCAGGCTCCCTGAGGCAGATTTTGATCTTAATACGACATCTGATCAGCTCTTTGAAGTCTGAAGAGCATTCTTGCCATGACTGACCCTCTTTACACTGACATAAATTTGCTTCAGATATATTTGAAGAATGACAGAGTGTATGTCCCTTGATGTTTCATTCTATTCTGTAAAAATACACTTTCATCTAAGCCTATATCTTTCTAATGCCATGTAATTAAGAAAAGCAACTCAATTAATGTGTTCAGTCATGGGCATACAAATCCAGAGGCTTTTCAGAATCCAATCCCTATCTCTAAAGGCATTCTTAAGAGAGTCACAATTGTTTTGGCCAAAACCCCAAACAATATTTCCAAGAAACTACAAAGAACTTGTCCTGCTTAACATCTAGATAGTCACGTGATGGAAAATTCTTTTCATATTCTGTGTTTGTAGGAGCTGTCTCCTTCAAGGAAGGAAAGGGTTAAAGAATAAATAAATAAATAACAAATCACATGCCTGAGCGTGTCCTACAGCAGAAGGCACTAGTTGTTTGTCCCACCGGGACACATAGCACTTGTGGTTCTTCGGTACTGCTCTGATTTTGCAGCCTGGGCTCAAGCCCAGTTCCCAACACCAGAAAATGGTTCAGTCAATTTTTTTAAGGCAGATAGATGTCTTGTTTTATCATCAGCCTGCAACAGCACTGAAGAAGTAGAAATTTTAAAAAGAATAACTATTTATACCAAGATATCCATGAGTGGTGACACTATTAAGACTACTGGGAAGGGGACTGGGGGACAAATCGACAGTAAGAAAGGAAGCTCCAGAGGCCAGATGCAGCCCAGTCCCATCCAGGATCATCTCCCTGACCACCAAAGGGTACTTCTGTACACTGAAGAAGCACATCCCACCCGGGAGGCTTCAGGACTGCACTGAGGACAAAGCAAACACTGCAGGTTCCCAGCAGGGACTTACGCTCTCTGCTGTCAGCAAAAGCAGATCAAGGTGCTAAATGTTTCTCATGCCTGGAAGGTGAACCCAAGTCCATCCTGATACAACGAGGTGAGGCTGCCTGGATCACACATCCAGTTTACTCCCTGGAAAATGCCAGCGCATCCATCTTTTTTATTAGAGATTTTGTTTAAAACCAGGAGTTATGCTCATTTGGGGTTTGAAAATAATTCAGCTTCATATTCTGAAATCCAGTATGTTCAAGGACTCATATTCTGGACTCTGCCCCACTTCTCTTTGTCCTCACCACTTGGTGGTGTGAGTACGTGAGATTCTTATTTTGTTCTGTGCAGCGCTATTCCTTGAGCATCCTTTGTGTGAAGAAATCCTAGAAGT